ACTGAACTTTAAGAGTATATAACATCACTACAGTCTTATCTGCTTTTCACAATAGAACTCAATTTCAAAATGTTTTCTTGATATTTTTTATTCAATCTAAATTCAGGTGATGAATGCTGAGATGAATACTTCATGGAGAACAGGGACATACTAAGCTGAAACCATAGGAATGTATGAGTTGTCTCATGAAAAGAGTGTCTATGGATATTCTCAATCATCTAGGTTGTCCCAAACAAGAAAGTCCAGTTGCCTCCTGAAAAAGTCCAGTTGCCTCCTGACTCATGAAAGGAGCCATCATGGGCAACCCAAGGAGGCTGCTCTTAACATCGTGACTCTGATCGTGGCCAACAGAATTACGCTAAGGCCCTTCTATCCTCAATTAGTGCTTTTCTTGCCCAGTTACAATAAATAAATTGCACCATCGACAAGAGGTTACATTTCTACAAATGTTCAAGCACCAGATCTGGAAGCTAGGGGAGGAGGGAGAAAAAAATCATAACCATTGCCTATAGAAATATATATATTTTTTGTCACTGAAGGAGGCAGGCTGGATATTAAAGTATGAAGGGTGATCTACTTTGCTGAAAGTGATTAATTTCCTTAAAATGCTAAGGTCACACTAATTGACATGACCTGTGTAATTAAGCAGTCTCTGTTTACACATGGAAAGCTCAACTGCTGTGAGGCTCAGTTTGCCTGACAGAATATCTTTACAAGTCAAGAGATCAACAACCTCTCTTATGTCCTGCCTAGTCACCTACATAGGCTTTTGATTGCTCTTCTGACAGAACACCCAAAAGCATTACCATATGAAAATCAGCTTACATCTTGGGGGAATTCTGAACTGGCAGTAGAACAGGTAGGTTTGAACTGAGGCTTTGACAGCCTTTAGCTTTGGCTGCTCATGCTAGATTCCCTTGTCTATGAAGCAGATTTAACTGGTGGGTGTTCTGAAAAAATAGCCTAGGTTTGGTAAGAATGAGGCAAATCAGGAAGAAAACTGATGAAATACAGGTAGGAGGTCCCTAACCATTCTGCACATATATGTGATTAGAAAGCAAAAAATTAAGACATTACTAACTTCCAGTTGCCATTATGGTCAATTAGAAGGCGTCTGGATCCCAGATGAATAGCAGTTGCCACAAGGTTCAGGAATTAAGAATGACAACTCAATAGGCTCTGTACAAAAGAAGGATTCCTGTGCCTGCCCTGAAGATAAGGAAGCAACCAGTAGGGCTGATCAGAGACCTTACACTGAGTGAGACCAAAGCAGCAATCTGTCATTTATCCAGATAGCATATGAAGAGACTGGAGCACCCAATTGGGATGTGACAGACATCCCCTCCTGTTTCTATTGATCCATGTAGGAATACAACCAGTCAAAGACTTGAAGACACTGCAAGGGACTATGAAGCACTGAGCAGGAGGCTGAGGGGGATGGGGGCAAGATTGTATTTTCTTCATTTCTTATGTCTAAGAACACAGCCCAGGAAGAGAAGCAAGAATACTGGAAGTGAACAAAGTGCTACTGAAATGATGGCAGCTGGAATGGATTTGATTTTTTGATAATGAAATATGAAGTAGTCCTGGCAAAAGATGAGAAGTACATGAAAGGAACTGGACAAAATGTGTTTGAAAGGCAGCTTGCAAACCTAATCTATGGAGACTTCAAACTGAGTGCTGTGGGCGAGAGACAAGAGTGCTCAAGATACCTAAGACACATAATATTAAAGTTAAATCATGCACTAAAACTGCATCAACAGCAGCTAGAATCACTAACAATCCAACTCAAAAAGCCTCAGTGAAGAGCAAAGTCATACTCCTTTCTTCAAATCAAAGAATGTGGGAGCCAAGAGCAACTGCCAAGAAAACTTTATTTTAGAGAGTTTGACATGCCTTTTCTGTATGAGAAAGAACAATGCTCTGAAATTTAGAGCATCTTTAAGAGAGCATCCTGCTGAATTCAGTAGTTATACAGCTTCTTTACCAAGTAAGGCACATTCTCAGATAATTGGACATTAAATCATTTAGGGTTTTAAAGTGGAATGGAAACATAATTATATGTGCTATATTTATATGCACCTTTATCAGAAAAACTCACAGAAACATATACACACATACACAAAAGCCCACATATACTTTGGTAATTTTTCAAATTATTTCCTTCCTTATCATCTGATACTATGAAAATAAGAAATAGAGAGCTAAGAGAATAATCCTACACATTTTTACTCAGAAAACCATGGAGTTTCTTCTTGGTAATAGAGTAATCATTTCTTAATTTATCTTCTCCCATAAAAAGTATTAAATAAAAACATTAAATTATTATTAATTAAATCTGTCTTAGGCCAGTAGTCTTCAATATCTTCATCAATGACTTAGAGGAGGGAATTGAAGGGGAACTCATCAAATTTGCAGATGACACCAAACTGGCAGGAGTAGCCAACACCCCAGAAGACAAACTTAGGACTCAAAAAGATATTGACAAACTTGAACAATGGGCCCTATCCAACAAAATGAGTTTCAATGTGGAGAAAAGCAAAGTCTTACATTTAGGCAGGAAAAATCAAAGGTACAAGTACAGATTAGGCGAGACTTGGCTTAGAAACAGTGACTGTGAGAGGGACCTTGGAGTCCTAGTGGATGATCACTTGACTAAGAGCCAGCAGTGGGTAGCAGCAGCCAAAAAAGCTAATACAATCCTGGGTTGTATAAACAGAGGCATAGAATCAAGATCACACAAAGTATTAGTATCGCTTTATAAAACCCTAGTAAGACCACACCTGGAATACTGCAGCCAATTTTGGTCACCGTATCACAAAAAAGATGTTGAGAGTTTGGAAAAAATTCAGAGAAGAGCAACTAAGATGATCAGAGGCCTGGAGACTAAAACATATGAAGAACGGCTGCGGGACTTGGGTTTGGCTAGTCTAAAGAAAATAAAAAATAGGGGAGACATGATAGCAGTATTCCAGTGTTTGAGGGGCTGCCATCAAGAAGAGGGAGTCACGTTATTCACCAAAGCACCAGAGGGCAAGACAAGAAATAATGGTTGGAAACTAATCAAAGAGAGAAGCAACCTGGAATTAAGGAGAAACTTCCTGACAGTGAGGACAATTAACCAGTGGAATAGCTTGCCTTGAGAAATCGTGGGCGCTCCATCACTGGAGATTTTTAAGAAGAGGCTAGACAGTCACTTATCTGAGCTAGTATAGGTCCTCCTGTTTGAGCAGGGGGCTGGACTAGAAGACCTCCAAGATCCCTTCCAGCTCTATTCTATTCTATTCTGTTCTGTTCTATTCTATTTTAATTATTGATTAAGAAAAATATGAGTTTCAGACAATCCTAACCCTACCCCACAATTCTACTACTGTTATATGTTATTATTTATAACATTTATATAGCTGTTCATCTTATATTGAGCTCAGATCAGGAAACAGGGGTGACTATGCTTATATATCCCAATAAGACCACAATCTAATGATTATGTTGTTCTATTCTGTATTATAGAGAAGTACAGTTTTTAATTTCATGGCATTTATTTATTTATATCCCGCCTTTATTATTTTTACAAATAACTCAAGGAGAATATATCCAACATACAGTACCTTCCTCCTCCTATTTTTCCCTGTGAGATGAATTGGGCTGAGAGAGTGTGATTGGCCCAAGGTCACCCAGTGACCTTCATTGCTAAAGCGGGACTTGAACTCAGCGTGTTCTGCTTTCTAGCCTGGTACTTTAATCACTAGACCAAAATGGCTCTCAACATTACAAAGTACTTTTAAGCAAAAAAAAAAAACACATATGAAAAAGTAAGCTTTGGTGACAGTTAGTATTAAGGGCTTAGACATATCTTGTAATACTACAAAGGCTGTCCTCTGAATAAATGGCATAAAGAAGGTAAGATTTTAAAAAAGATAAATAAGAACTTTTCCTTGAAAAAAGGTCTCTTCATAGGCCAGAGACCAAAAGGATCCATGATTTAACCAGTGTAGCTGATTTGGATTATATTATTTCATAGAAAGCCAGGAGTTTTTCTGCTGGAATAGTGTTATATTAAAGAAAATGCAAAAACATGAAAATTAGCCAGGATTACTCAAGCGGATAGAGGTTACCTGCTTAAGAATGCTGGGTTCACATCATCTTACTCCCTACAAGGATGTCAAAGTCATTTGCAAGCCTGTGTGAACTGCTTACTTTGTCCAATGTATCTGTTCTACTCAGTTATATCCTCTGTTCTATCCTGAAAAGGCTTTCCAAAGAGCCTATTTTTTTATATCTTGCAGATCAAGTAGAAGAATTTTAGACTAATTGCACAAGGGGTTCTGATTTGCCTGCGGCCCATGAGTCAAACAATGAAATAAATTGCCTACGGCCGCAAAATTGAGCATACTAGGGTTAAATGTGTTTGTGTTTGTTTAACTTATATGTTGCTGTTTTAAGAATTATTCGAGCTTGGACAGGTAATTCTAGCTTACTAACAATAATTAAGATGGACAACTCTGTCGCTAAGACCACACCGACTTACAATGACAGGTGCAGCAATTCCCATGGCAGTTGTTAAGTTAATTCTGCATAGTCATTAAGTGACCTGATCACCATTTAGGACCTCCTGCCAGCTTCTCCACTGACTTTGTTGTCAAAGGCTGACAAGGAAGATCACAACTTTGATCATGTGATTGTGGGATGCTGCAAATGTCACAATTGTGAACCAGTTACCAAGCATCTGAATTGCAATTGTGTGATCACCGGGTTGTTGTCATGGCTGAAACTATGAAGACTCGTAAGGTTTCTCGTTCCGCATTGTCCTAACTTTGAATGGTTGCTGAATGAGTGGTCAGTAAGTGAGGACTACCTTTGCTGTCATTGATAATTCTCAGACTGAAATTCACAAAAATTATGTAAACATTTGCACACAACATGCACGAATAAGGCTGGACGTTTTCCTAGCTCACATTGTCAAAAATGGATTAATCAAACAGGTAGGAAGTGTCACTAACCTGAAATCTCCGCATGTCTCGAGGATTTCCTGCATTTTTTAAGCAGTTCTGGTTACATTTAAGAAAAAATTTCAAGAAGAACCTGTTGGAAAAAGAGGTAATTTGTTTAGTATATTCGCTCAATATTTGTTTTGCTTAATTGCTAAAAAAAATCTATTCAATATATGCATCTTTAAACACATTCTTGGAACTTGAGTCATAGGGCAAAGAAACAGGAGAAACAGGCAAGCCATCTCATAGGTGTCTCTTTGCTGGAATTTACTGGAACAGGCAATTTTATATTGCAAAGTTCCTTCCAATTTGAAGTATTTGTAATTAGGTATGACAAAATAATCCATCTTCATTGCCACAAAACAACTCTAACTTTCACAAAGGGCTCACTTCCATACCAATGCCCTCTCCCACTCCAATAAAGCAGTTTGAAACTGATCTGTGATCATGTTTTTTCTTCAAAATTCTAAACACTAAAACACATGGGGAACAGCAAGAACCAATTAATATCCACCTTCAACTGACCAATAAGATAATAGGATAGGGCCAAATAATATTATCCAATAATGTCCCTGTCTCTGAAATTTTCAAAGAAACTTTCATAAAACAGTAAAATTCCTTTCACCCCGATTCCACGCAAAATAGAGTAAATTGCTTATGCCTCCTACTATTTTCACATCTTTTTTATTATTTGCAAACAAAAAAAAAATACCCAAACTCTGGAAAATTGTTGTGAAGACGTTTTCCACATGCAAAACTGCTTTTCTGCATTTAAAATTCTCTTGCAAGCTATGAACATGAAAGAATAGCGCATTTCTACAACCGGTTACTCTTCCCTGTTTTTCCAACCATTGGCTGCATGCTGCTGCTACAAGAGCTTGAAGGGGAAAGAGAAATACATTCTCAACCATGCTTATAGAAAAGAGCAAGATGCTAAAGTGGCAGGACAAGAACGCCTTCAATAGCAGAAGAAATTGCCTGCAAAATTCATAGACCTTTAGCACTAACAAACCCAAAATCAGCTTTGTTCTGCTTTCAGACAAACTGGTATCAAACAGGAAAACAATACAACCCAACTCTTGAATCTGGATGATAATGTGGGAATGCTGGGGTTCAGAGCTAAATTGGCAAAAAGAACCTTATGGATGCACTTAAATTCTAACTTCTATTATCCGGCCAAATAGGATAAGTAAGGTAGGGAATGTAACTGAATTGCATTTCCCATGAAACTGACTGGGAGGATTTCAATTTGGGGTAAATGAATACCTATCTCATGTATTACAAAAGCAAGAAATGGAGGGGGGTGCTGAATTGCGTACAGTATGACACCCAAGATCAAGAATTTCATCACATATTATGGCCCTTTTAAGTAAAGAAGATACAGGTGGGTCCCATATTATAGGCTGGATGTAATGGTGGAATCTATGTCCTAAGCATAACACTTACAGTAAGGAGACTAAATCAGTATGTAGAAGTCACTGAAGCATAGCAGAAAAAGAGATGCCAAATAAATTCTGGGTGTGGCAAGGAGTGGGTAAATATTCTTAAATATCTACAATATATTAGGTATACAGTATGTATTTTCCAAGAGCTCAGCCAAACAAAAGCTAAAACAACAACAACTATCATGAAGCTCTCACATGGCAAGTTTTCTTTTAATTAGGGCTGTCATTACATTAAAGGTTGCAGTCAATTAGTTGTGTTACTTTTAACCTATTAATCAATCAACCGACTATTTAAAAGACATACTGCAGTTTGCATTGTCTCAATAAAGAGTGTATTCTCAGAATTGTCACTGAACCTTATAAACATTTTGAATCTTTCTAGGTGCTGAAGCTAGCAGATTGTTTTCGACATGGACTACCTTATTCAACATCCTAAATAAAAATGCTTTTAAAAACTGAACTTTGGACTTACAGGCTTAATCAGGAAGGTCGACATGCAATATAGTTGGGCTAGAAACAGCATATTAGAAGTTCCTTCCAAAAGAAAGCTAGTTCACTGCTTCTGTGGCTGTTTTTAAGATGACTTTAAAAACAAACCCATTGCATTTCACTTCTTAACTGAAAAAGCATTATAGAATTTGCTGCAGTTAGCTATATGAATCTATATTTTATTGCAAGTGGTTTATTTTGGAATTTTTGTTTAAAGATACTTCTTTAAACTTTACTTTTGTATAAAGCATAAAGTTAAATTACTTGGTAAAAGCTGCGTGTGTGCCTGTGTGAGCATACATGTATCAATAAAAATAACAATTTATAAATAAAATAATATTTTCCAAACAGCTGTTAAATCAAGCTGAATCAAAATTCTTATCCAAACCTGCACTATGAACATTTAAGAAAATTACCTGTGGTCTTCAAAATAAAATAAGGATGTGAATAAAATTATACTTATCTTTGTTCTTGGAAACCACAAATGCTTAAATACTTTTTAAGTTCTTGACTCTATAAAAATCACTGAAATAATTTTATAACCCATAATCTTCAGAAACAGAAGACATATTTTTACCAAAGAGATAAACAACAGAAAGTGTTTTCCTCAATGTTCTGCATTAATAAGCCATAAAAACAAACATTGAAAAAAAATTGGCCTCACAGTTTGGATATTATCCTTTAAAAGTAAAAACAAAGAGATATGTCAAACTTATTTTTATTTTTTTAGAAATAAGTTAAACCATGTCAAAAAAAATCTCAGCATAAGTAGGAAAGGTCATGACATATTTGGAATAATTGTTGATTCAAATATGTACAGCCAATTTACTTTGGCACAACCCATCAGGAATGTCTTATGCAAGAAACAAATGCCATTGAAATAAATATGAAGTTAACAATAGGTGTTCAGCTTTCAAACTGCTCTCATTAAAAAAAAAAATAGACCAACTATACTATTCTCATTTTTTTTGCATCTTATTGTAATTCTATAGAGACAACAAAAGAAAAGTATTCATTTGTTTTAGAAAAAAATAACATGCCAATCTAAACCTTGATATAAATATTATTCATCTTCCAGAGCAGGGGTCGCCACCCCCCTTGGCCTATTCTGATCCAGGCACCGCGAGCGGTGGGCCGGTAGGCCGGTGGGCCAGTTTGACTTGCATGAGTGGCAGGCTGGCATACATGGACATGCGTGTGCAGCTCAACTTGCACAAATCAAGATGTGTGAGTGCACCCCAGATAGGATCTTCTGTACAGATATGGGATAACCATTTATGAAAGTGATCTCTGAATTAAAGGTCTTTCCCATTTAAAAAGAAGACACCTGATTACAATTAAATCAGTTTAATTACAATCATGTTTGAAGTCAAAATGTGTTTGCTCATCTCTTTCAACATGCTTTTGGTATCTATTAATCTTTTATTTTCCACCAAATATCTTGGAAAGTAATTTCAAGAGAGTTCTTTCAACAAGAACTGCAAGGCCTCTTTTTCATTGCAGACAATATTAAAAAAAATCTCCAAATGGAAACATCATATGGAACATCTCTATGACTTTTCAAATGATTTCAGGGTGTTGCCAGAAATTTTCTCTGTATGTTTATGACTCCTGCTTTCCAAATTCCTGATGGACTTTTTTTTTCCTTAGAAAAGAAGATAACAAGGAAGAAGAAATGGTCTTTTCAAGCAATATAGTCAAATATTAAAAAAAATTGATAAAAGTTTAGTTGGTTGACTCAAAACATTTTATTTATTTAAAAGGTCACCAGGAAAAAGAAATATTCTTGTCATTAATTAACCTCATACTAATTTGCTAATATTAGTAATTAGTAATAATACTAATATTAATTAACCTCATACTAAATTGGCACAATGAAAATTGTAGTTACAATTTGGAAATCTCAACATTTTTGGATTATGATGATAAATATGCTCAAATGGCATGAAAAACAAAACAGAATTCTAAGATGGCTCAGAAGCTCCATCCTGTTTGTTTATTTGTCATGAGTTTTGTCTACTTCCTGAAACCAAAAGGACTCTAGGTAGCTTGTAACTGACACACAGAACATAGAACATAGCAATATAATAAGTAAAACAATGATCAAATGTAGCTCTCAATTTAAATTAAATATTAAAATAACATTCTAATATTTACTGAATATGGTACCAGTTGTTATATACTGACTCCCCAAAGGCCTTCCAAGGAAGTCATGTTTTCACCTGCTTCTGGAAGGCCAGCTGGAGAAGCAGGGGCAACCCACTTCCATATTATTGCCCAGAATAATATAACAGGAACATGTCTACCATGTGGGTGGATGCTGAGCTAAGGGAGATATTTTTTTCCTATAACACCCATTTAATATACAGTAATTGTAATATCAGGAAATAGTTGGCATTGTTAAAGAGAAATCAAGTAACCATCTCTGAACTGATTTTTTTTAAAGTACAATGACTGTACCCATGCAGTGTAGCCAGCTGAATAGGGACTAGAAAAGCTTTGTTTCCACTATTTTTTTAAGGTGTAAGCTTTACTTGCCCCATCAAGCAAAATATGGCATTCAAGAGTTGTAAACTGGCATGAATTAACTATCGGGGTGGCTGTCTATGGTGGGGGAAGAGCTTTCTCTCCTGGCCAGCTGGGAGAGACTTGACTCTGAATGTGTAGAAAGAACTGTCAGCACAAATCCTGGCATCTAAAGTCCAGACAACTGCTTGCCACCAAGCGGTGGTTTGTACTGGTGCCAAAACGGATTTGGGAAGATAAGCAAATAGGACATTAATTCTGCCAAAGAAAAAATTGGAAAGGGAGAAGCACAGAGGTTTGTATGTTGAGGATAAGCACTTGATGGCTCTCCTGTCAACAGTCCATCATTTAGCTCGCCAACTATGAAGGGCATGGACATTAGATCCCTTTTGCCCTAAACTGGCCCTGCCTTGTGGAATGCAGGCAAAATCCTGAGATCCCTCTGCTGCCTGCTGACATGGAAAGCTTGACCATCTGTCAGGAGGCAAAGATGTCCCTGTCAACTGATGCCTGCCCAGAGCCTCTGACAGGCCCTTATGAGGCAAAGTCTCTCAGAAGCCCTTGTTCTTTGGGGAAAAGGCTGCTTTGCCCCAGAGATTTGCTGGAGGATTCTTCAGAGTTTTCCAAAATGTAAAAGCCAAGCAGCTGACCATTTTGGCCTGCCCTTCCCAAAAGGAATAGGTTACCAAGAAGGAGAGGTAGGGAGATAGATGGAACAGTTAAAAATAATTTTAACTCAGAGGCAAGCACATGTTTTGAAACAACATGTGCAAATATAAGGAAGATTTGTATAAATATCTGGGGCATATGCACTTATGCTAGTGAAGAAAGCAGATAAAATCCCAGTATTCTTTCATTTCATAAAAATCTCTATTCTCTTTTTTTAAACACACACACACACACACACACACACACACACACACACACACACATAGGGATTTTTCCATGAAGTCTCCTAAGCCCTGAGGAGTTATCCATTTTGCAATGATCAGAATTTCAAGATAGATTATTATCCTTTATTAGAAATGAAAAAGAAAAATATGAAACCATCAGTGGAACCAGAATAAATTTGGAATGAGCATTAAGTTGAAGATAAGAGAAAAGAAAGTCTATACTCACTATATACTTTTTAATGGGATCTTTTTTTAATGAATTCTTTATGTGTGGGTGTGAGTTTGACGTGTAGGGTATACATTCTCCCCTCAGCTAATCAGAAGTGGATAAACATTCAGGTTGTATTTAATTGCTCTCCACTTTTCATCCAGCAAAAGTGGATAGAAAAGCCACCCTTTCTCCTACATGACTTGCTGCCCACAAATCTCTGGAGCAGTCCCAAGAGGTACAAAGGACTGCAGAAATTGGGGAGAATTTTGCTTATGGAAGCCTGTGCTGAATCAAAAATGAATGGAAAGATATTATTGTATGTAATTGTCTGGGGATAGCCATTATAA